GCTGTGCACCTGACATAATCTCTCCCTTGCCCAAGAAGTTTATCTGTCTACTCATACAGCACAGTCACTCAAACAAACCCTAAGAACACCTCCAGTGAGACTGAAAAGAAGCAAAAAGTTCATTTCCCATTGACAAATGTTAACAAAAAAATCATACTCACTTCCACAGCTGAATTTGACACCAAAATCCCCCACACTCTGCAAAGGCACCTGTCTTTTGCCACATTTTAATGAGGACTTTTCAGATTTTGAGGTTCAGTGCTCCTAAGCAAAGCTGGCAGAACTTACAGTACCACAGCTAAAACCAGTTCTTTATCTAACACACTGGGGTGCTGCCAAGCAGATACAGACTTGTAAGAGCAGGAGGAGATTCCTCCCACCTAGGGGAGATTATGCTCTTCTTAAATAAAGCTTTCTGAACATATTGTCTTATCTACAGCCAGAATATTTTTCTTCCCTAAGAATCAACATCTGCCTTCATTTGAAAGGAGGCAGCCCAGCTGCTAGCAGTGACTTGCAAGCCTTTTGACCACCACTCCCATAGCATCATCTATAATCAAATGAAGAAAAACATTCAAAGGACAAACACACTGGTGGAAAAATAAGGATTTAAACCCAATTGTTACTTGTTTAATTTTCCTGCTGCACAAATGAATACACTCTGAATAGCTAAATATTAAATAAATTCACGTTTTTAAGTTAGTCTCCTTCTTCCCCTTCTTTCAATCAACCCATACTCATCACCGCTTGTATTAAATTCTGAAAAGCTACCAAACAGCTTTTTATTTTTTCACCTCTTTTAGTTCAAATTTTCAGGGGGTAGGAAGAAACATTTCTCACTCAAGAATCAACTTAGTCCACAACCCCAAAAAATCCCTTGACTAAGGCAATTAGGTCAAGTATAAAACATTTACCATGGCAATGTAGCTGTAACTCAGAACAATCTCCCGAATTTTCCTCATCTCTTCCTCCAGGTTGTTGGCCCATACTTCACAGATAACCTGGCTGTTTTCTGCAAGGGCTGCTGGCATCTTGCAGGGACCAGAAAAAAGGCAGCTGATGCTGAACTCAAATGACAGTGCAGGATCACAAGCTGTGCAATCTTATCAGTGTGCTGCATTAAAGAGATAAATAAATAATGCTTTAAGTGAAGGAAGAATAACATGTGAATAAATGAGCTGTAGGAGTCAGTCACACTACCATTTTCACCTTCAAACAACCTGTTTAAAGTTTACACCAAGTTTTCCTGCTTTATCACTTTCTGTGAACATGCTGAATGAAATCAAGAGCATTTGTTCACAATATAAAAGTAGATGCACAATCAACAGTCCAGTAGAATCATTACTCCTATCTTCCTTTTCCTGGCATAAGCTTTGACACTTAGGGCACAAGACGTACAGGCAGGGAATCCTCATCTGTAACTCTCAACCCTCACTCCAGGGATATTTCTCCATCCCTGGAAGTGTTCAGGGCCAGGCTGGATGGAGCTCTGAGCACCCTGGTCTAGTGGAAGGTGTCCCTGCCCACAGCTGGGGGGAGGAATGAGATGATCTTGAAGGTCCTCTCCAATCCAAACCCCACTGTGATTCTATGATGAAGACAATTGTTTAAACACAGTAACAGAATGCATTAGAGAGAATACTCATTGGATGGAGTTTCAAGGGGTAGAAATATCTAAAGGGGGTGCTAAGAAGATGGAGCCGGGCTCATCTTCGTGATGCCAAGCGACAGAACAAGAGTCAATGGGCAGCAAGTCATGCACAGAAGTTTCCTCTGAACATGAGGAAGAATATGAGCAAAAACTGTGCAGGGACCGGGCACGGGAACAGCTTGCCCAGAGAGGTTTTGGAGGCTGCCTCAATGGAGATTTTCCAGAATGGCCTGGACACAATCCTGTACCACATACTCTGGGATGACCACACTTGAGCAGGGAGGTTGAACCAGGTAACCCACTGCGGTCCCTCCCAACCCATTCTGGGCTTCTTCCCCCTGGGCTGTGACTCGGGGCACACTGCGGCGGGCTGTTCCGGCTGGAACCACCGGCAGCGCCAGCAGCGCTCCAGCTCGGGCGAGCCACCGGCTGGTGCCGCTTTCCCGTAATAAAAACCCCGGCGAACCGCCGCCAGGCGTCTGCGAGCGGCCTGCGCCAGCGCAGGGACGAGCGCACCGCCGCGGCGCGGCCCGGGTCGCCTCAGGGCCCCTCACAGCCCGCGGGCGGCCGGACGCGGCTCAGCGCGGCCGGCAAGCGGGAGGGCCGCCGCCCGCCGAAGCCCAGCGCCAGGCGCGGCCCCGCAGCCGCGGTGCCGGTGGCGGTGCCGGTGGCAGTGCCGGTGGCAGTGCCGCTGCCCGCCCCGCTCCCCGGTACCTCCCGGCAGCCGCGGCCGGGACGCGCCGCTCCCGCCCCGCGCCGGCTCCGAGTGCCCCGCCGCGAGGGGCGGCGCTTCCGCCGCTCGCGCCGCTTTGCCTCTCGCGAGACGTGGCGGAGCGCGCGACGGGGCGGGTACATCTGCCCAGCCCACACCGGCTGGTGCTTCCCCCCCCCCCCCCCCCGCTCCCGCAGTGGGCTCGCCCGGGCTCCCCGCGCTGAGAATGGCGGGCGAGTCCAAACTCCGCGGGCGGAGGGGGGAGGGATGAAGGAGCTGGGTGTCGCCGCTCCCTGAGGGAGGCGTCGCCATAACGCCCGCCGGGGCTGCGGTGGGCTTCCAGCATGGGGAGCCCCCGGCACCCCGATCCCTTGGGACACGGGCTGCGCCGGGCCCCGGCTGAGCGTCCCCGAAAGAAGCAGCGGCCGCCCCTCCCTGAGCAAGGGGAGGTGAGGGGGTCCCGGTCGGGGTGAGGCCCGAGCCCCCCCGGGCTCCCAGGCCGCGGGCGCGCAGGGTGGGAGCGGGATGAGGGTTTGTGTTCCAAGGGGATTTCCTGAAGCTGCTGGCCTGGCACGCGTTGCTCCTACGGTGTAGCGCGTATTAAGCTTATTAATGGAGCAAGTTCTGCTTCTTCCTGCAGGGGCTTAGAAGTCATTTAAGTCCCTACTACTACACCTGCAGACTTATAGGCTTCTGTTCCAGGAGTGGAATTTACATTACGTTAGCAACAGAAGGTTGTAGCTGGTAAAGCAGATACTGGTTGTGTAACACGGCTTTGCTGGCTGATGCTGATGGTACATAGGCAATTCATTTGGAAGCTCGTCTACTAATTAAACTTAGATCGTATTTCCTTTATTTTAGACTGCCGTCCTTCTGGACGGGGTTGCATCTTTTGTAAAATATATATTAAAATATAAATAAAATATATAATCAATAAATTATATACCTAGATTATAGATATAGCTATATATCTAGATAATATATAGATATATATAACCTATATATCTAGATATATAGATTATATATCTATCTATATATAGATTATAATCTGCATCTATAAAATATCTCTAAAATATGTGCCTCTATAAATATATATGTTCTGGTACTGGATTGTCTGCCCACCATATGGGAGTCTTTCCCTGAATCTCGGCTACTTGCCCAGCATTTTGATCAAAGTATCTGGAAAAGCAGATATTGGTATCTTTCACACATCAGACACCATTCAATGTCTCAGGTTTTATGTTCATGCCTCAGCAGAAATGTTGCCGTTAGAAAAGAAGAGGGTTTTTCAAGAGTTGCTGTGTTGAGTGACCTTGCTGCTGTCAGCATCTTGGTACATTCCCTTTATTGTGCATTATTTTGATTCAGAGTTTTATCTTCAGGGATGATAGAAAGTTACTGTTTTGCCTTATCTCTGCAGTCTCTGGTGTTGTGCAATTTATGCAACATGCAATATGCTACACTGCCAGAAAGTAACCACCTTTCTTCCCGTGGTCAGTTGTGTCTGGGGTTTTGTACAAGGAAATCTGTGTTGTTAGCAGGTAAATTCAGCAGGCTGGATTACAGCACCCTGTAAATATAAGATGAAATTTTTATTTCCCAGAAGAGTTCAGAGTCATTTTTCTTGCTTGTAAACCTGGTGTTTGAAGGGATGTTGAATCGAGGGGAAAAGGGAGGATGCATCTCCTCAGCCCACTGTAAATATCTGTGCCTTGGTACTGTAATAAAAAATGTTGCAGGCAATAATCACCTGTGATAAATTACATTTGTAGTGTGTAAAAATTTGTCTGTAAAACAAAGCTGTTCAGGGATGTTTGCAAGCACTGGAGACACGGTTTGCTCGAAGAGATCAGAATTTTTTTCAAACATGACATGGCTAATAAAGATTCAGAATAGCTGGAAGAGGCACCCTGCTCTTTAAAAAAGTCCCATCATTTCTGTATTTGGAGGTTACCAAGGTTGCTTCCAGCTCCAGCACTCCAAAGCAAGTCTTGAAGAGTCCTCACATCTACATACGAGTGTAGAGCTGCATTATAAGGTGGAATAAAGGTCTTTAGCTCAATGTTTTCACACTGGGCAGCTGGAGTTGCATGTCCTATTGTGCCTTTTCTTTAGAGCTTACTCACAGCACCACAAGAAACCTTCCTTGTGGGAACCCTGAAAGGTGAATTTATGTTTTCCTCAGCCTTCTGTTGTTCCACAAGTACTCCCAAAGCACTGCAGTGCTAGGTGGTGGCACACGTGCCCTGGCAGAGGGTGAGAGATCTGGTTCAGAATGCAGGGAATTAGGCAGTGGGTGATGTGTGCCAAGTTCAGATTCCTCTTCAACCTTTTGAGGAACTATCAGTATGGGCTTGTCCAGTCCCCTGAAAGATACTTCATAGATGTCCCCCTGATGTTCCTCTCAAACAGTGAAACAACCAGTGCTTATTACAAAAACTCTGGGGAGTGAACAAAGTTGTGTTAGGAAGTGTCTGATCAAAAAGCTTTTTTTGCTGAGAAGGAATCAGACTTCTTGCATGGCTCAGCAAAGATTGCAGCAGCATTGGAGTGCCTGTGGCAGAGACACCAGCGCAGGGCAGCCAGCAGGCAGAAGCAGCAGTTTGATCAGTGACAACCTGTGCTAGACACACAATTGCAGCAGAAGTTCAATGGCACTTACAACCCTATGACTAATGTGCTGAGTTGTCCCTATGGGTATGAATATTTCAGAGATCACCCATGCTGGAATTGAGCAGTGGTTCACAAGGAACACCGAGGTCTGAAATTCACTATTGGCTGTTGGTTGAACAGCCCTCCCCCTGCAAGCTCACATCCAAAGATCAGTGAGGACATTATCCTTATGGCACCCCTCTCTTGAGATGCTCATTTCCACTTCCTCCTCTTCGTGAGTAAATAGTTTGAAGGAATCGCATTCCTCTCTGTTGAGCCTGCTCTGTGTGATAAATACCAATTAGTAGCAACAGCTAAGAACTACAGTTTCTGTCCCTACCAGGAAATAGTTGGAACTAGGCAAGAAAAAGTGATGATGGAAGCAGTAACAGTGTTAAACGCTGTTCACTCTTGCAGAGCTCTCTGCAGTTCCAGCTCTGCTGGAACTAGGTGTTACTGAGAAAAAGCATGTGTTGCTTCACCTGAGAAGGGCAAACAAGGATAACTGGGAGGCAGAGGTAGTATTCCCTGTTTTTCCTCCTGTGAAAAATAGATCTGGAGAGTTATGATAGTAACACGCTCAGTTCTCAGAGCTTAGTTTGCAATAGGGCACTATTTATGGGCTGAGTAACAGATTGGGGCCACATTTGCATAAGAAAGATCGATGCCGCTGTAAATTACATCTTGCTCTCTGCAATACCATAATTACACACTTTATGGTCTGTAAACAACATGCTTAAAGACAACTGAGCCCAAGTACATGCTAACCTATGTGTGTCTTCATCTTAGCCATGCAAGCAAAGCCTGTTACTGGTTGAGGGCACTGTGTAGCAACAGAGTTGGAGTAATTTTTAGATTTAGTACAACAGGATTAAATCTGGACTGCTGGGTTTTTGCCAAATTCCACAGTAACCCTTACTGCTTTTAACAAATACCTTTGACCCATTCAGTTGCACTGGCAGTAGCTATTTTGTGCTCCAGCCATGAGTTGGTGAATTATAAAAACTACTTACTTTTAGGGGTGTTGGTGGATTTTTTGTTCTCAGATACAACGATGAAAAACTTACCTGCAGAATCAGTGTATTCCACGTGCTTAACTGAGTAACAGCATGCACATAGACGTGGGGAACAGTGCCAGCACTAACAGTGACATGGCACTGGCTTCACATGACTTGTCTGGGAGGGGACAAGCAGCTCCTGCTTGGAAACACACCCCTATTGCCCTTGCCTAAACCCTCATAAAGTTTCGACAGGAGATGTGAAAAGTGAGGAGCTGAACTCTGCTCTGAACAGACAAAAAGGACCTCTCCTAGGCTACCATCAGCAGGTGGTGAGAAAGAACAGGCAGCCAGAGTTCAAGGGTGCTTGAAAAGATATGATAGAGACTTTGAGGAAGTCATTAAAAGGCAGTGTCATGTCTGTGTGAAGTCCATTGTCAGCTTTTCTAGGAACAGGGGTTCCCCTAAAACTGTGCAGTGCTTGGTAGGACATCAAACACCACTTCTGGTCCTGTGTCTGTCTACACAGAAATGCGGCTGTTCAGGTGACCAGGTAAGTGGTCCTGTGTTTTTTGTTCTGTATGTTCTGTACTTCTGTGGATAGTCACAGCCTTTGTTCTCCCAGGAACAATTTTCCACTGTCTGTGCCATATAAAGGTTGATTTCAGTGAAGTAAGACCTACACCAGAGACTTCAGGAGGAAGGCACAGGGAATCCCAGGGAGCTGGGGTGGGCAGCCAGTCCATCACCTCAGATGGAGCTGTTCTGAGCTGTGTCTGCCGTGCACAGAAGGACGCAGTGCAGTGGGTGCAGTTCAGGGAAGGGGCACCTGTGCTGCCTCAGCTTGAAGCTTTCTGGGCACCAGAAGGAGAAGAGAACTGCAGGCATGGGGCATAAATAATAATTTACATGTAAACAAAAAAAAGTAACAAATACAGCAGGGTTTTTTTCAGATTCTACTCAGATTGTATTGAGCATTATACTATGTATTATATTGAGCATTTTAAAACATGACTTAGACAAGCTAGCTTTTTTACAGTACCAAAAGTGAAAAATTCAGTGAAAACAAGATCTATGACTTAATGAACAGTTTTTGGGCAAATTAAGTTACACATGGAAATAATAATATTAAAAAATGTATTACAATTCTTGATTGACTAGTGTATGTTTCCCCTTTAATGTCAAAAGACTGATTAGAAAGGCAATTACTTTTACTCCAGGGTTGAGAATTTGCTTTGGATCAAATTTTGTGTTAACTAATTCAAAATAACGGGAAAGGAACTTTTTTTAAAGCAGTAGTAGTTATAGCTGATATTTGGAAATAGCTACAGGCAGCTGAGAGCTTCAGTGGTTGATTTGAGGCTGTAAAATATGCCAACATGAGAGCAGTGCCAAGCAGCTGAATGGCTTTTTTGTTTGCTGAAACAGCCATGGTTACATGAATGTTTTTTTAATGTATTTGGTGTATTCTGAATGAGGAGAGACATTACACAATAAAAAAAGAGTAGGTGATGAGATGTTGGGGAAAACCTACTCCAATTTTTTTCTGGGTTTAATGTAAATGTAAAATTTTATCCTGAAAAGTGGCTTAATAAAGGCAATCTTCTGAAACAGAGGGTAAGCAGATGTGGCAGCTCTGCTTTGAACTGGAAATCTTTGCCCAAGCCAGCCTTCTGTCATAAATTGATAATTTTAAAAAGGGTACTAGAAATGTGATTGTAATTTTGACTCTTTACTAAATGCAAGAATATGTAACTCAATCAAGTAATAGCTCCTTCTTCTAAAAACTTAAAGCAGTCACGTTTTCTACAGTGCTCTGCTCTGGAGCTCTTCACATGCAAAGGTTCAGCAGGTTTGAGTCAGCTCTGCTGGATGGAGGAACCTCTGGAGCATCAGCCTTCCAGCTCAGTGAGGTTCCCCTTTCACATCTGCCTCTCCTCATCTAATGTTGTCTGCTACAAAGTCATCAGAGCAGAATAATCTCTTTAACCACAGAAAACTATGGCCAGCACTATTTACTTTACTGTCCCAGCAGAATAATTGGATATTGCTCTTCTCAGCTCCCTGCTGGGTGGTTGTAAAGATAGGGATGTGCACAGCCTAAGAGCAAATAATAGGAGTTATAATCAAAAAAATTCCAAGTGGAAAAAACTGACAGTGAAGGTTGTCAAATACTGGAACTGATTTCCCAGAGAAGCTGTGAAATCTCCCTCTGTGCAGACACTCAACTGTTCAAAGCTCTGAACAACCTGTTAAGAAAGCTGGAATGGAGCAAAGCCTCAAAGGAATGGATTATTCAAGCCTGACATATTTCAAGCTTTAGTAGTGTTTTCATGGAGGCAGTGGGCACACCTGCCCTGAGAGGACCTGTGTGACAAGATGGACACATAGTGGATGTTATGTAATAGATGTGATTAGAAGCTCTTTTAAAAATTAAGATCTATTTAAATTTGGCCTGTGGCCTGGTATTTATGCTGTTCTCTTCAGGCTAGCAGATTATTTTTGGTTGTTTCTTATGGGCATTCTTCATCAGATATATTAGAGCTCAGGTGTATTTTATCAATAAAGATGTGGTTGGCAAGCAATATATGAGAGGAAAAGCAAATCCCACAGACTGGCTGTGGTAGCTCATGAAGTGCAGTAGTGAGGAGCTCTGTGTCTGGGGAAGGACAGAAAGCCCTGGGACCCTGAAGGTTCCCCAATACATTCTCATTTTAAGCAATAGCACCTTAGGGCACCTCTCACACTACCTTTTTTGGCCAAGGGAGACAAAGTGAAATTGGATTTGGTTTCTTTTTAAGACTGCTACCAAAACTTAGCATTTCCCTTAGGAGTACATCCAGCCCTAGTGTTGAAATATAGAGTTGGGAGTTGCCCTCAGGGTTTCAAGTTTCAAATCCCTTTTGGCCTTATTTTTCTTTTTTCCTTCTCAGAACTGTCTAACATCAGTGTTTTCCACTAAAGTGTGTGGCATGGTGGGCTGGCCTTGCTCTTTTGCTGTGAGTAAGCAGGAAGGTGTCTAATTTTACTACCTCATTCCCTTTGACCTGCATATTAATAGGTAATGTAACAGAGCTTGGAACACCTGTAAATAAAGAGTTGTATTTGTAAAAACATACCCAGAAGGCTATAATTTCAAATCTAAACCTCCTGACTAATACAGGATTTCTTTTTGACAGTTTATTCCTCCTTTCTGAAACGCTGCAAGCCTCCCAAGAAGCTTCCCTCCATTATCAAGGTAATAGAATATCATCTTCCTAATGAGTAATTTTCAAACTGTTTATACCCCAGACAAGAACATTTGAACCTTCTCTGTGCCTTTGTATTTTAGGTAACAGTTTGCCTATGCTTGAATATTCTGCTGAGTAGGGAAAGCAAAATGGATGAAGTTCTGCAATCCTCAGTAATCTGTCTGTCATATTATTAGAAGTTGTGTGTTTGTTCTTAAAGACCATGTGAAACCAATAAAATATTAAGGAATATTTTGTTAACTTTTGCTAATTATATTTGATTATAGGACTGCAGAAATATAAAAACAACTATGCAATAATCCCTAAGACAGCCAGAACATAGCCTCAAATACAGAACCCTTCATGGCTATGGCCAGCAGTGAAGTCCCAGCAGCTACTCAAACCTTGGGTTTGCTATATTTTTAAAATTTCTTTTAACAAAACCATCAACAAAGGGTCAAGCCAGAGCCAAATGCAGGGAGATTCATTATGAGATGGCCACATGCCCACTTAGGACTTTAACTCTCTAAGTGACCATAGTAGGACTTGAAGCAAAGATTATTTTCTTATTTAACATGTTCTTAAACTGTAACTCAGTTTGAGAGAAGGCTGTGGGGTTCTATTGTGTTAACTCTCTGTGGCCCAAACTCATTTTGTTTTCATCCCTGTTTGTTTAATTGCATGTTGCCATTATGGAAGAACATATATCCCACATTATAATTTCCTTACAGCTTGGGAAGGGCTGGAGTAGCTGCCGTGTGCTGCAGTGTATTCCTGGGCCAGATCAAATGAGGAAGTCTTACCACAACACACCAGTGACACAAGCAAAAGCTTTGGTTTTGGCTGTTCTCCCATTTTCCTTGTTATCCTTGCATTTCTGTTAATCTTCTGGGACACTACTAACTCCTCAAGGAATAAGGGCATTTTTCTTCTCAAGAACTCAGCTTTGCTCCATGGCCAACACGTGAAGGATGGAGGAGGACAGGACATGGCACAGAGAGTAAATATTTTACACTTTTAGCACTGAACTGCAAGTGGATGTGATTTGCTGATGTCTGCATCATATTTTGCCATTATCCAGCTGGCCAAGGTTCACTTACTTACATCACCTTTTATTTCAGATGGAAACAGACTCTGGATATTCCTCCACAGCTGAGCTGCAGAAGCAGGTAAAGGCTCAAGCTCATCGTTTGTCATGCAGGTGCCTTGGAAGGCTGAATGTGTTGAATCATCTTCTAAGAGATGTGACAGACACATCCTCATTCCGAACATTTTTGCATAATTAGGAGCTCATCTCTTATCTCTAAAGCAAAACTACCCTGGCATTTTTCCCTTCCAGTGGACTGCAGCTCCAGCAGCAAGTGGGGAAGGACCTGTTATCTATGCATTCCTGGCAAGAACCCACCACAGTCCCCCATAAACAGAAGCTGTGCCAGCTCACAGAGTGGTCCTCAGAGTGGTCCTGCTAAACTCTTATGGCCAGCTGATGTGCCCCAGTCTCCTTACCTTGCCAGCAGCAACCCTGTTCTGCACTTAAGGAATTTGCCAACTTCTACAAGGACTTTAAGAGCAAGAATCCATTAATTAGTTTGGAAACTACTGTGCTGTAGCTGTTGGCATGAGGAGAAACAGGGTATTAAGCACTTGGACTTGATGAACAAGATTTTTTTTCTATGTAAACTTCTCTACTTCTACATTTCATGTAATTATAGTATGTGGGATTCATGTAATCACTTCATCATATGCAATAAAAACATAGCCTCAAAACAAGACACTTTCTAGCCAAAGGGCTGTTAAAATACCTGAAGTGCTGAACTTTAGCTCCTCTCTCTCCTGTCTCAAAGCAGGACATGCTGTGACTACTAGGGGTTACAAAGGTTTGAAATTCTTGAGCTGGAGGATGTTAAAGCAACTAAAACCTTATTTGGGCTAACTGGAAATTCTAACACTTGTAAGACAATTTTTGTTTGGTATGCTCTTCATCCCAGGAGAAAAAGGATTTATAAGATACGAGTCTGTTAAAAAGCTCAAAGCTTTCTACAACTTCTTTAACCTTTATTTTTCTAAAGAATATGTAAGTGATGGTCCAGGGTCTAAAGATTAAGAAAGTCTTACATCAGCATACATGGGGCATAACATGGATGCAACTGGAATTATGAAACTGCTAAGACAGCAAATCTCTAGTCCAGGATCCAGCAGGCACTATCTGATGCTGGAGGAGAGGCTTTTGCCAGCCTGGCATTTGCACTTCAGTACCCCCAGTAATAACTGTGGCAGCTGATTGCACTGCTCTCATATAAACCCATAGGGTTCACGAATATCAAACTGTAGGGCAAGAGTCCTGTCAGTTTCTTCCTCCCCTATTTGCTTTTTAGATTAAAAAAAAAGAAAAAAAAAGAAAAAAAAGGAGGTGAGAGGTGATGGGAAGAAATGGTTTGTTTGTTTTAATAGTGAATGTTTCAGTGCTAAAGCAAAGTTCTGTCCTGGGACAAATAAATATTGCTTGTAAGTCCTAGGCCACATTTGATGTTCTATAACTGTTACAGAATCTAAAAGCCATGTAAAGGGGATTCCTTTATATTGCATTACCCTAAATCACCTGCATTTGGCATTTCTCAGAGCTGCCTCTCTTGTTTGTCCTCTCTGACAGGAGGTGAGCAGGACAGCAGCTATGAATCACACTGTTTTCACTCCAGTCTGTTTGTGCAGCACAACACCATAGTTAAAAAACAGGAAGGAAGAGGAATGAAGAAGACAATAGCTGGTTATTATACTATTGCATTGATTTTTTAAAAAACATTTACATTGCAGATAGATATAATTCATATTCACTCATGAAAATCAAATTAATTGCACTTCAGAACCAATTCCAACTTGGACTACTATAGAAGACAGAATGTTAATTATAAATTTGTTGTGTATTTGCTAAACAACTTTGTTTGGAATATTTAAATATTCAAATATATTGAATACTGCTTTTTGAATATACTTATTCCTGTTAACCAGGTCATCTGAGCACAGCAGTTCTTGACTGCTGTGGGGAGAAAACTCTGCAACCTGGGAGGGAGAAAATACTGAGGGAGGGAGGGAGGTGCTGAGATGGAGCACCATTCCTTATTGCTCAGTGTTCCTTTCCCACTGCTCTGAGTTATCCAGAACCTATAGCTACAGCCCTCCAGGTACTGAGCAGTATGCCAAATAAAGAGGGAAAAGAAATTAGTGGTCCTTTCTCTGCCTTTGGTTATTCCAGCAAAATTCCACATCAGTCATGCACCAGATCTCTGTAAGCATGACAGATGGATGATTATACACAATATCCCACAACAGCTTTGTTATTGTGTTCTTCAGAGTGTGTGTGAAGCAAAACAGGCCATCACAGGACTGCCTTCATCATTTCAAATACCAAAAGTGCCAGGGCAGGACGCAGCAGCACGTGCTTACTCTTGTTGCTTCTCACAGGGAAAGAAGCTCTCGGATGCCTTGAGGATCAGTGCCTACGTCTTCAGTACAGGCCTGCTCAGCTTCACTGCCTTAGTGAACATTGCTTCTTGGTAAGAATGTTCAAGCAAAGCAGCTTGAAGAGAAAATTTTCTGTGGAAAGGGGGAAAAGTGAATGAATACATGGGCAATCAACCACTTGTTATTCCCACAGGTTTATGCAATATATAACTTTAGGCAATTTCTGGCAAACAGCATGGTTGGAGTTCTATGACCATATGGAGGGAGATGAGTGGACAATCTTCCTCGTTGGTGAGTTTTAACAATGCTTCTCAGGAGAAATCATCCATGTGTTACATATAAAAGGGAGACATGGACAAGCTTCCCAAACTCACTAATTCTCCCTCTGACAAGCACTGGCTTGGAAGGTACCCACAGGTGATGTGGTGCAGCTGTTCTGCTTTTGGATATGGTCACCATCAGGACCCTGTGCAGATTGAAAATCTGATCTTTTTGCTGCTAATGAAGTGGCTTCCCTGTGAAGACACTTTGCTCCTGTGGCAACTGAATGACTCAGTAGAACTAATTACTAAAAATGTAAGTAAGTTTAGTGAATTCTACTCTTGTAGTACTTACAAAACTCTTTCCTGTGATTAGCAGCTGGTGAACAGAGCTGGAAGAACCTTGCCAGGTTCTAGAGCAAGTCAACCTTATCCTACTTGGGTTTAAAAGCAACAGAGGCCTCCCAGCCGCCTAGAAAAGCCTTTTCTTAGCTTCAGTTATGTCAAGTTTCAACCTCTGAGACATTAGTCTGCTCTGACTTCCTTGCCATTCTTTGGTCTTACCTGGATGTCAGAATTTACCAATATTCCATTTCAAAGCATCTTGGGGCAGGGGACACACACTTGGCACATCCGGGTCCCAGCGAGGTCCTCTGGGTACTGTGCCAGTGTATTTTGTTTCTGATTTGCCATAGTTCCCAATTCATTCACACATCTCTGCCCTTTCCTCATGCCACAGGGGCTGCATTGGTGCCTGCACTTGCTTTCTGGGGCTTCAATGGAATCCTTCTGGTGGCTGATGTAACAGGAAAGCCAACTTTCATTACTCGCTATCGCATTCAGCTGGGCAAGAATGATCCTGTAAGTACTTCTCACTCTGCCTTTCTTCTGGCTAAACACTTCCTGCAGTCTCTTAGGCCAGGAATGGGGAGAAGAACCTGTTAATGCTCTTCTCTAGCAACCAGATAGGATTCCAGGAGGATCAAGTCAAATCTTGTATACCCACTGCAGGGAGAAAGGCAGATCCTGTTATGAGGCTACTGATTGTCTGCTTGTTAAAGAGCTGATCCCAAAACTAACTACCTACCTACAAATCTTAAAGCTTTTCACCCTTCCAACTAAAACTTCTTTCCTTCTTTCCTAGTCTGAAGTCCTGACTTCTCTTTTGCAGGTGGACAGAAAAAAACTGTGGAAAGCCATCTACACAGCCCTGGGTAATCAGCTCTTTGTCTCCTTTCCCATGCTTGTGCCCATGTTCTACATCATGAAATGGTGGGAAAACACCTTCAGCAAGGAATTACCAACATTCCAATGGTTTCTTGTGGAGCTAAGCATTTTTACTGTAATAGAGGAAATTCTCTTCTATTATACACACAGGTGAGCTGAGCACAGGAACAGGTGCTTGATTTTCCTCCATGCCTTTAAATTTATATTCATACCCTACAACAGCAATAATCGTCATCCCTCTGTTCCACCAGTCTTGTATTTATATAGGAAATCTTACAGGTCCTGAAATCCACCCTCACAACATGAGGCCTTGGTGCTGCCAGTAACTGTAGTAAACAAAAATGAGTAGAATTTTAAAGGTGGAACAGCTTAAAAGCTAAGGAAGAAACAGAACAGGCAGTTTTCCACAGAAGCTGTAACCCAGCATTCTTTAAAAAGAACAAGACTGACCATCCTGAAAGACAAAAATCTCAAGGGTCAGTGTCTGTTCCCTTGTGCAGCACCTACAAATCAGAGCCTGACTTCCAACACTGCAGGATTTCCAAACACTGACACCAACATTAGAGGACAGAACTAAAGCAAGGAAGACAAAAGAAGCAAGGAGCAACCACAGTAGAAGCAGAAACAAGCACAGTACTCTCAGAAATCTGTAGGTTTCCCTTTAGGACAAATTCACCCAAAAAATGTGAATGCCATTTTTTACCAAGAACCCATGGAACTGAAAATTCTGATTCTTTGACAGTTGCCAGTAGAAAAAGTCAAAACAATGAAAGCATAAAGTGAGTCTTCCCCTAATAGTACTCTAATATTTTAGTAAATAAATAATTCAGGGACTTTGATTTATGGGATTTATCTGGCCTGAGTTTATCATAAGCCAGCAACCACATTAATTGAATAAGGGCTCAATACAAAGAGAGCAAAGGAAGCAAGGTGTTCTACACTCTTATTGCCAGCTGCTCTGGAATCTTTTGTTAGAGGAGACACAAGCAAGTCCCCTGCAGAAATTTTATGTTCTGTTAGTACTTTTCTGCAGAGTTCAAAACCTGCCTTTCTGTTTACTCTGCCTAGGCTTGTTCACCACCCAGTGCTGTATAAGCACATTCACAAGAAGCACCACGAGTGGACAGCCCCCATCGGTGTGGTCTCCATTTATGCTCACCCAATAGAGCACATAGTAAGTGGATTCTCCCATGGTCACCCTCCAGTTGCTGTGTGGAGTGTGATTTCCATGGGATGAGGTGGAGTGGGAAGAGAAGAAAATATGCCCTTAGAGGCTTCTTCTTTAGGAAGAGGAAGCTGAGCTGCATTGCCAAGAAGCTTGGCTCTTGGAGGCTTGCAGTAATTGTTTATACTGGACTCCAGTAGCTTTCAGAGCACAGATCCAAGGGCCTCCAGTAGATAAGGAACTGACTAGACAGGGCTTCCCATGAGCCCCAAGAGGACTGGGAGCACAGACAGTGCTTTCAGCAATAGATATGAGACAGCCTGAATGATCCTGTGGACTTGGAAATCTGTCAGGATTTTTGTGGTTGTTGCTGGGATCAGTGCTTGCAAGGAATGTATTCCAACACCCCTCCAGCTGAGGCTTCTCAGGAAAACACATCCCACCTTCAAAAGATTACGCTTAAAAATTCTATCTCCTGTTCCCAATAGTCCTGACCTGCTCTGAGGGTCTCCCCAGCTGACAGTCTTTGGACAGCATAATGATTGAGGAGCCCAGCTGAGCTGTGCTGGGACATGCAGCTGGGTCTGGGCAGCAGAGCCTTTTGTGCCACGGGCAGAGCACAGTGAAGAGATGCAGCAGGGTTTGTCACATTGCTGTGTGTGTCTGCAGGCCATGCCCTTTTGCAGTGAGGTTTCCCAAGAGCAGATTCAGCATTATTTCAAGGTGAAGCTGAAATTCACACCTCAGAGTCCAGGGTGATTTACTGGAATCATGCTGTACTCACCCAGGGTTTGGAGTCATGTCTGACTTCTACTGCAGGCTTATGGAGTTTGGGCTATGACAATGGTTTGCTGTAGTAGATAGAACTCGCTTATCTCTATTATTACGTTTTGAATGATTATGTAACTTTAATTAAGGTGTTGGCAGAGAGATCTTCCCTTTATATTGTTTGCACAAAACAAACCGGTGTGATGGATCACCAGGTGACAATTCAGCTCTTGGAGGAGAGTTTGCTGGTAGTGGACCCATTAATGAAGTACTTACTTCTCATTTCCAGGTCTCCAACACTCTGCCTGTCATGACTGGCCCAATGATCATGGGATCTCATATTGTTTCAGTCTCAGCATGGTTCTCCATTGCTCTTGTAACAACAAGCATTTCTCACTGTGGCTACCACCTGCCCCTCCTGCCATCTCCAGAGTTCCATGATTTCCACCACCTCAAGTATGTCTGGGCACTGCTCAGCTTTCCATTCTCCTGCCTCTCTGCTGGCACCACTGGCTGGGGAAGCTCCTTTCTGAGGGTCAAGTGGGTTTGCCTAACTCGTGCACCAGCAGAGCAGTTCTCCAGTTCACCTGAGAGCAGGCTGAGCGCTGCCAGTTCTTAGAGCAGTTAAACTGGAATTGCAGGGGATTCCAGCCCTGTTAAGGACAGTTAGGTTCTTCCTAGAAGTTCAGAATACAGTTCATGTGATCTAAAGACAGAGCCAGGACAAGTCACACAGGTAAAATAAATGAGCCTGCCTGTCTGTCCCTCTCCTCCCATACACTGGGATTACTAACACTGATCAGATTACACTTTCCCCAGACAATCACCATTAACCCCTCCTGACAGATATTCTCAGCCTCCTGTGCTGAAGAGAGAGCAGTTGCAGGAGACTGTTCAAGGATACATACCCGAGCAGTGGAGAAGCATTCCCATCTCCCAGTGTGCACTACATTCAGACATGCTGCCCAGAAATGTCTGCCCCTGCTGCAGAACCAGCCCAGGGACACTATAGTCACCACATGCCAGAACACAGATCACTGCAGAGCTGAGACACTGTGGGTGCAACAGCTGTGCCAGCTGGAAGCACATCTGCTCCATATCCCAGGACAGCCAGGTCTTGAGAGCACGCGGGGCATGGTAACGTGGGTGTCCAGTGCTCCCCCAGCTCTGAGCTACCCAGGACAAACAGCTGCTGCTCAGTGCCACCATTTCTGGGCAATGATGGCACCAGAGAGAAGCTGCACAAAACTCACCCAGGCTTTGACAGAGCTGCCAGGAAGACTGGTGCAGCTATGGACATTAAATCCTATAGACATTATCTGGGCTCAGAAAGGAATGGAAAGGGCAAGGTAACCTCAGTAACTTCAGTGATGTTTATCTGTGTTTGGTTCTCAGGTTCAATCAGTGCTACGGAGTGCTGGGAGTGCTGGATTTTCTGCACGGCACGGACAAAATGTTCAGACAGACCAAAGCCTTTGAGAGACACAAGGTCCTGCTCAGCTTCACACCACTCTCTGTAAGCATCCCAGACCCACCCAAGAAAGATGAGTGAACCAGCCCAGCAGCTCTTGCTCAGCCTGGTGATGAGCAGAGTGAGAGACAATGATTTATGCCAAATAGTATTTTAATCAGGAAACAAATTCTTGTCCACACATAATAAATTATGAAGCTGAAGTTAAATATGCTGCTTTGGAACGACTGCACTTTGGCTGCCATTGTTTTCTACAACATTCACAAAAGAACCTGTTCTAGAAATCTATTTTTAAAATCTAATGGTTTGTTTCTCTGTTACTTGTACTGTCCCTTGATTCCAGCTGCCTGTGTATGAGCCAGATCTGTTCTGGACCACATGGTTCAGGGGTTTTCATTATTAAGGTTTTAGCACCGGACTCCACAGCTGACGATTTGGCCTCTCTTGTTGGCACTCACTCTATAGAAACATCAAAGTCACTCCATCTACGTGTGATACAATTAAACGAGCTTTTGTGACTCAGAGTCACTGGGGCCACTTTAGGAACACCCCCCTGCACATGCAACAAGGGCCTGACCCTGTGAGCAGTTATGCACGGGAGGTGGTACAGGGCTGAACTGGGGCTGCCACAGGCTCATCGCTGCTCCACAGACAGCGGCAGACAAAGGGAGTTTCCCCTCGTGGGACATGGAAGGAGAGCTGGGAGCAGATGTGCTTCATGGCATCAACTCCTCCTGCTGAGTCTCCCCTTGCTCTGAGACACAATCAAAATTCTGATAAATTCCAGAGATTTTCCAAGGAAAGCAGAGTCCCTGCTGTCCTAAGCCATGTGGAGATTAAGGAACCCCTGTAAGAAAGGACCCAAGAAAGCAGCCCCCAGAACAGTATGCACAAGTACCCACAGACCATCTGAGACACACTGAATTCTCTCAAGGATCTCCCTAAATCTCAGTCCTGCCTGGGGGCGTGGAACAAAAGCACATTTGTCCCCAGTGCTAGAGCAGCCCCTCGAGGAACAGGCACACAGGGCTGACCTGTGCTGCACTGACCATTGGGTCAGCCCAGCTCTACCTGTGGAGCCAAAGTCACTGCCCCTGCTCCCCTCTGGTCCCCACAGCTGCACCAGGATGAACCCAGCCCAGCCACTAGCCACAGTTCCCTGGGGAGGGCAAGTCAGCAGAACAGAAAACCCAGGCACCACTGTCTTTTGAACTTTTTATTTTTATACATTTTTTTTGTATTAAAAAGGAAAAAGCATAATTACCACAAATTACAAAGGACTAAAGCATTACTAGAATAATGAATCACATCAGCCTAGAAAGCAGATACTCTGAATAATATTAATGTTATAATACAAGCTCTCATTCAAGTATTTTACATTTTTCTCTTTTCCTTTTATACGTGATCATGATCCTAGCACATGGGTCAAAGATTATGTACTATCGACAGAGATGGATCATGTACAGCAGGCCGTATTAACAAGATTTTCCTCCCAAGTGATATATGGTCTCTGATGAGTCATTTTAAGTTTGTTTCTACTATAAATGCAGCTGAAGAAGGTAGCACACACTCTCTAGTTTTGGGAAACAGAAGGCTGAGGTTGGACACATAGGGTTTGAGAAGGGCCAGCACATCAAACCATCACCCTTTAGCTCCAGGCGAGCAAGCAGAAGGCTGCACTCGCTGGGCTGCAGCTCAGTGGGTGTCTCTGAGCCACAGATCCAAAGGTTTCCAAGCCCAGTGGGACCAGGACAGGCTGGGGGGGAAGACAGGGAGCAAGGCTGCACCAGGGAGGCTCGAGGGACCAAGTGGTGCCTCGAGAGCACCACTGGCACAAGCCACCCTGGTGCAGGGCTGACACCTGGGGAGAGCAGGAGGACAGCATGGGGAGGAACCCCAGCACACTCCATAGGGGCCGGCTGGCACCCAGGGCACTCCCTGCTCCTCTGGAGCTTCCCAGCAAGGGATGTGCTTGTCACAGGTACATCGGTCCTATGTTCAAGTGTCTGCAGAAAGTGAAACTGTAAACTACTGGAAATGCTGCCCTCCAGCCACCCGCTCCACACCACCGAGATGAACGTTTGCTTAGAGAACGAAAAATGAAAGAAATTCTTTTATCTGTTACCTGTATTGGAATCTTTTAAAAAAGTCACTGAGGCATTTAACATCAAGTTTAACAACCCTCTCAAGAAGAGCCCAGCATCCATTTCAAACAGTGAGTGACAAGTGACATAACCAGCCTCAGAGGCAGGAGACAATAAGCACTGCAAACACAGCTTGCTACATTTACAGTTTTCCTTTTTTTTTTTTTCTTTTTTTACTTTTGATAAAATATCTGGGAAGGCATTAACAGCTAGAAGGCCCCCTCTGCACTGCCATGTGGAACGTGGCAGGACACTGAGGTTAAACACATCAGTTTGTTACAGTACAACAATCAGTCCCCAGCAGATGCTGAAACTCAGGGACCCCAAGGGCTACAGTGAGAAGGTGCCACCAGAGGTGCCAGGGGGGCATCAGAAGAGATGGATAGGCAAAACTAGAGCAGCAGCATCATTATGTTTTAATTTTTTTTCCCCAAATGAGCACAGCAAAGCAACAAAGCCTCATCAAAAACACACCTTCCACCTCCACTCTGACCTCACGCCACAGCTCTGTACCTGCTGCAGCCATCTGCATTCTCAAGACAAGTTAACCTCGGCAAGGAGGACCTCCTGAGAAGAGGGGCAGGATGAGGAATGCTCTCCTGCCTCAGCCTCCCTCAGCCTTTCCAGAAACAGCTGGGGCTGCCCCAGGCTCTGCTAGTGGCTGGACACCAGCACCAAGCAGCCCTCGTGGGCTGTGGGACAGTCAGCACTCACAGGAGCACGTGTGCAACCACTCAGTCCTCTAAAATTCAAAAAAGCACAACACATGGTGGAGGCGAGGCATCCAAACTAAAAGCAAGGCCCAACTCCCTCTGCAGAAGGGCAAGAGCTCCCTCAAACGCAACCCCCCTCTGGACAGATGTCCCTTTATCCAGTGGGGACACGAGCCTTGCTGCAGCCACTCGTGACCCAGCTGGGCACAGACCACGCACCTGGGGAGCTCCCTGCCCTCTGCCAGCACCCACCCTGGCACGGAGCAGGAGGGAGCAGCTCTGTGCTCCCTTCCCTGCAGGAACACAGGTGTGAGCCAGCAGCAGCTGCCTCGGACTGTCACATCCATCTTTGCTCTGTCCTGCCACTGCTGTCCCATGGACAGCTAAACAAGGCACACGGTCCACAAACCGGGAGGGCACTGGGACCACTGGGATTGCTCTTCTGACCCACCTTCCCCTGGGTGCACACACTAGTGTGACAAACCATTGACTTGGCAGAGGGGGAAGGGAAAACACTTCTATGCCAAGACTAGAGCCTCAGGATCAGAAATTAAAAATTATTTAAAATCAGTATTTTCAGAAATTCTCTGGGAAATGTCTTACCTCTTCCACAACCCAAACAATTCCAGTCTGCTCTACAAGCAACAACTCCATAGCAGCAGCTCATCCCTCCCCATTTCCTATGAATTTGTTGCTGAAACACAGACAATTGGCTTCAAGAGAGCCACGCACACACACACACCAACGAAAGGAGCACAGAACAGAGCGGCAATTATCACCTGTGGCACATCCAGACCTGCCTCCACTTGCAAACAACCAGCAACACATCTACAATGTCCTTGATTGACTCTCCAGCCTCCTCCTTCCCAAATGTGGGACAAACCCGCCTACTATAAATGTAACCTCAGAGATCTGACTCCAGCTCACAAGAGGGGAAATCCAGAGATAACAGTCACGGCCACAGCACTGTACAAGTGTTACTTTTGCCCATCTTGCCCAGTTCCCACAACCCCAGAGCACTGCTGCCGTAACGGAGATCCACGGCCTTGGATGGGCTCGCCTGCTGCAATCAGGCCTGTGAGTGGTACCAGCTGCAGGTGACATGGCAGGGGTGGAAGGACCAGGGCAGGATCACACCACCAGGAAACAGCCAAGCAACAGCTCCCCAGCCTCTCAAACCCAGCTGTGCTTTCGATTCTAGCAGCAATTCATGAAGCCTCTCCAGTCAGACCAGCCCACCTGCCCCACAAAGGTGGCATCCTGGAGGCAGGGTCACTTTGGGACGTGATGGCCTCAGCCAGAACCCCACAAGCACCCACAGCCACTGCTGATGGACAGCTCAGCCATGCTTCCCCTCTTGCTCCTGCTCTCAGTTCCTGGCTGCTCCCACCCACCCTGCAGCCACACAGGGACAGCCCTGGAGAGATGACTCCTCCCAGCTCTGGATCAGCTGGATCCCTTGCGAAAACACTGTTCAGTACCAGCTTGTGACTTGAGAGAAAGGGCAACCCAAGGAGCTGCTCCCTTGGAGCGGTGCATCATGTGCCCACTGCACACAGGAGGACAGATCTGGAGCTCACAGGGATGGAGCCACAGCCAAGCCTGGTATCTCAGGGATCCAGCAGAAGGAGCATGGTGGCAGCAAGGCAAGCAGGTCTGACTGGAAAGGAACACAGCTTCCCAGTGCTACCTCTGGAGCACCTCCAGAGGTAGCACTGAACATCTCAGAGATCTCACACCTGACACATGCCCCTCACAAAGGACCCAGCTCACAGCCTGGGGAGGGTTTGCCCGCCAAAGTCCATCTGGTGCTGGGTGTAAGGATGAATCAAGTAAATGCCACAGCAGCTCTGCAGTCACCCCCTGCCTCAGCTGAGTAAGGAGCTACACACGGTGTCAACTTGGCCCTTGGAAATGCACAGGGACTGAGCCCTGAGTGGGAGACTCCATGCAGGTGCCTGCCACAACACAACACACAAGGAAACCCAGACAAGAGCTCTCCTGTGCCAGGCAGCTCCTGCTCACCCCTGCACAAGTCCCACCAGCAGCCCTGAGCCAGTGACTGCTGTGGACAGCTTTCCCAGGGCTGCCTCACTCCCTGTCAGGCTACAGCAGAAGCAGCCCTTGCTCCCAGCCAGGAGCAGCCCCCCAGCTGCTGTGACAATCCCCCTGCTCACTCCCCAGCCAGCTGGAAGCACAGACAGGAGCAGAGCCACCTCCTGCCCAGGGAGGGCTGGGGGTGTGAGCAAGGCCACGACAGAACAGCCGCTGTGGTGGGGACAAGGCTGCCACAGAACCAACACAGGGCTGCGACTACGGCGTGACACCGAGCCTGGGCTGTGACTCGGCCCCTGCCCAGGAGGCTCCAAGCGAGCTGCGGGGGCAGAGGAAAGGCCGCAGGGAAGATCAGCTCGGCAGCAATGCCGTGACGAGTCTCTGGGCCTGGGGGGAGCCGAGCCGAGCCCAGTGCACCCCAGGGTGCAGGATGCCAACAAGCCTCCCCGCTCCAGCTCCACCATAAGGCAACTTTTTTTTGTGTATTTTTGGGGTTTTTTGTTTGTTTTTTTTTTTCTTTTTTTTTCTTCAGTAATATTTCCAAGGAAGAAAGCAAAGGGGGATGTGTCTTTTTTTTAAAGAGTTTTTCTGTTGTTTTAGAGGGGTTTGTGGGATTTTTTTTCGTTATGTCATTTTTTCCAAGGGAAAAGGAAGAGAAAAGCTCCTTCAGCAAAGTCCTGTCTTTGCAAGCGATGGGCATTCCTGGGGCAGCGGGTGCACCGTCCACACAGGCTTGAGTCCAGGTGCCTGCCAGCCTCCCAACCAGCCATCCTCGCAGGAAGGAGTCAGAACGAGCCTATCCTTGGCAAAGGTCCTTTGGTTGACTTCCAAATTGTCCGTGACAGAAGGGAGAGGTGAACAGAGGGAGAGCCAGACCCCCGGGAAGGTGAGGACGCTGGGGAGAAGGGAGCGGGAGAACGAACAGGGCGATGCTCCTGTCAGAGGTCGGTGTTGGAGAGGCACCGCCGCACGTGGGATGGGAGACGCCAGCCGGGTCATGGAGATCAGAGGCTCCGCAGCATCGTCACACGCTGTGGCTTCGGTCCCCCACTGGGGAACCTCGCTCCTCCGAGCTTCCTGAGCGGCTGCCCCGCGATCCGAGGGGGACACAGAGGGGACTCGTTGGGGCCACACAGAGCAGACTTGTTTTGGTAAATCCAGACGAACTTCTAGCAATAATTTAAAACTTGATATATATATATAATAATAAAAAAATCTCCCCTTTCCAACCCAGCCAGAACACATTTCTTTTGAAGAGACACTAAGACATGAGTGTGTGCACGGGAGGAGAGAGAAGGGAAAGCTTGGGTCTGCTGGGAGCGGGTCTGGCTCTGGTCAGGGTAATAATAGCAAAACGGTGTTTTGGATGCAGATCGTCTTTGCTTTCCAGCCACAAGAGAAGAAAATCGTGTGCGTTGAAGTTTCTCCCAAGCAGCCTATTCCTGGGAACCCACCTTGCAGCTCCTTTCCTGTCCCACCCCCTCATGTCTGCTCTTCTCTGAGCCATTCCCCACCAACCCACCCCACCCCCGGCAGGAAGCGGACGCTGCAGCCTCTCTACTTCCCCACTGTCTGCGACTCTGCAGCTGATGGGGCAGGGGATTGCTGGCTCAGGTTTTTGGCATCCTCTTGTGCAGGCTGGCTGGGTGAGGCGTGGGCTTGGCTGGATGGGCACTGGCTGACCGTTTTGCTGGAAGACTGGGATGGGTAGCGCTTCCTGCCATCTCCCCCGGACGTCGTAGGGTATCTCTTGTGTCCACCTTCTTCCCCCATGGGTGGCTGGAAGAGAAGCACCCCAGTATCAGCACAGACTCCTGCAAATGTAGGTGCCCACCCCAGGATCAGGAAACAGCCTTCCTGCAAGCCTGGCCCACAAGGAACACACACATTCACTCCAAGCACTCAGATTCCCTGTCCAAATTTCCTGCTGCCAGATTGGACAGAAAAACTGACTGACTCCCACAAACTGACCACAGTGGTGACAACTTGCTCTTGTCACCTGCTTCCCACACAGAGGCACAGTCCAGAAGTTTGGGAGCCAAAGCTCCACACAATGCACCACTCAAACCATCAAAGCTCTCTTTCCTCCTCCTTCCTCACCTCACCAGGGAGGACAGGCTCACCCAGCTCCCTCACCCCACACATTCCAATCCCGCAGTTTGCTCCCGGCCTGGCTGCAATGACTGGCAGTGACAGTAGATGTCACTGCCCCCCCTCCTGCCACCTGGGGACCCCCAAAATCCTCCATCCTCGGAGGACTCTGCAGGGGCCGTCAGTGTGGCACAGGAATTGTGTCTACTCACATCTACTCGGAAGTCCTCGAGGCGCTTGAACTTGCTGAGGTATTCTTGCAGTTTGCTGTTAATGTCCAGATTTTTGGCTTTGGAATATTTTAAGAAGGCCCAGAACTTTTCCAGCCCATAGAGCTGCCCTGGAGGGGAAAAAAAAAAATCCAGATGTCAGCAAGACAAAAACCAAACGTGACATTTTCCCTCCAGGCTTCCCCACAAACCCTATTGTCCTGCTGGTGGGCACAGCCTAGGCAAAATGGGACACCTGGAGGGAAGCAACCTACATCAGTCCTGGGCAGCCCCAACTTGGGATGTCCCCAGGCTCAGCTGGCTTGGTGGTGACAAGGCTCAGCCACTGCAGGGCACTGAGAAATCCCACAGGAAATGGTGCCTCTACAGGAATGCTCTGGCAAAACTGCAGCCTCCCACTGCCCTCCTCCAAGCCCCAGTAATCTTTACGATGGTGATAGTCAACCCTCTCCTGTGAAATGAGCAACAGGACATCCCAGTCCTCTACCTACAGCACTAGGTGGTTTCATCAAAATGATGAGTACAGAGGCTCAGAAGGACCATGCAGCTGAGCTATATCCATGCCAACCCCAGGGAGCCAAAGGAGGCACCTACCAGCTTCATAATCCTTGATGGTCTCTTCTTGGAAGTCCTTAAATATGTCTGGCCGGAATTTCTTCTCCAGCCCGTAGCTGTAGTATCTGAAAAGGCACTCCAGACCGTACCTGGGAAGGGAGCAGCACATGCAGCTCAGACACTGCTGCACACAACACAGGGCAGCAGCAGGAGATAGAACAACCCCACACCCACCTTCAAGCAAGACAGAGGCACTGCCTTAATTTGCTGTGAGCCCTGCAAAAGGCCAAACCCTTAGAAAAGGCCCATACTCTTATCACTTTCCTCTTACCTGTATCCCTCCTTCCCATCCTCCACAGCAAGTTGCTTGAACTCCTCATACATTTTCTTGTTGAAGTGATCTCGGAGGAAGAAGGACCAGAAGCGGAAAAGCGTGTTCATCTCCTGGGACTGACCAATGCCCAGTCGTTTTCGCTCTGTTTGGGGAAGAGGGAATAATTACAAAGCCAATCCTGCCCCAGGGAGCCAGGGGCTCACGTGCAGGAGAGCCCTGTGATGACACCCAGCCCCAGCAGAGGACACCATGAGCACAGCCCATGCTCCCCACAAACCATGGGGATACAGCAGCTACCAGCAGGGCTGTCCTGTAGAACCCTGTCTGTGTCCATCCCTGCCATGCTCCTGTCCCCAGCAGACACCCTGTGCCACCCCTCAGTGCAGGGTCCCTACCGTTAAGGCAGCGCCGCCGGTACTTGTGGTAGACGTGTTGTGTGAAGCCGTTCTCCTTGAGCAGCTCGTGCGAGGGATGCTGGAACTTGGGCAGGGACTGCGGGGTGCAGCCATAGCTCCCGACGGCCGGGGTCCCTTCCGAGGGGCTGGAGCTGGGTGTGAGAGACTCCTGTCAGCACCCTTCCTTGGCATCACCCAGGAGAGGGGGGGGGGGGTGTCACACTCTACCCCACCTGTCTGTTGGTCCCACCCTTGCCCTGTCACTATGCTGGGTTTGGGACATGAGCCATGGAGCAGTCTACTAGGAAGGTGACCCATGTTTCTAATCAAGTCTCATCTTGCTACTCTCCAAGGCCACAGATTTCCCCCAAGCCTTTCCAGGAAGGGCAGGTTTGACTCCTGTCCTTTCTGCAGTCACCTAACAGGAGACCTCCCCTGCAAGACCAGATGCTGCTTTCCCCTTCCTTCCCACACTCCTTCCCTCTCCCATTTCTGCCTCCTGCATGCCTGTCTCTGGTACCTGATGGAGGCAGTCCGGGGCCTGTGCTCCCTGGAGTCCATCACCCAGCCCACGTGGCACTCCATCGGAGGGTTCGAACTGTGCCTCGTCTTCCTCTTGCGCGGAGTCTGCAAGACACGGCACATCACGGATGTGTTCCCCTCCTCCTCAGGCCCCAGCTGGGAGCCCCAGCTCCCGTCCCCCAGCCCAGCCTGCTCCCACCTTGGCATCTATCGTCCTGCCCTCTTTCACCACTGGGTAGAACCGGGGCGTCTGCGTCGGGTCCTTGAGCTGCGGCGTGCGCGGCGTGCGGGGGGTCCTGGCGTTGCGGTAGTTGGGCGATTCTGGGACGGTCGTGGGCAGAGAGCGGGCGATGGTGGAGGGCTCAGGGACTCCGAAGAGCTTGTTGGCCAAAGCATCTGTAGGTACTGCAGGGAAGAAAAAGAAAACCCCCCCGTGTCACGCTGGGCTCCGGGCACCGAGCGTCACCACCAGCAGCAGATGGGAAGCAGCAGGGGCAGAAATGCAGGGACGCATCCCAGCTCTCCCACACGAGCAGCCTGAATTCCAGTTTGGCCAGAAAGCCCAAATGCAAGCAGCAGATGCAAAGAGCTCCCCACAAGGTATCTGCTTCCTAGTGGTTAACAGCAGCAACAAATCCCTCTCCCCAAGGACGCAGCCCTGGTGTCACACAGGAAAACGATGTCCAGTAGGCAGCTGCCTTCCAAGTACTCGGAGAGGCTCCAAGAGGAAAGCCAAATCCCAGGAACTACACCCAAGTCTGCCACGGTTTCCTCACCACACTGGGACACCCCTGCTTTTGGGCTCCTCTTCCAGAGCCCTACAGCATTCAGCTGGGAGCATTAATCTGGGAAAGATGCAACTCGGTATATTCTGTGAACTAGATAATCCATCACACTTGTGGCCCCAGTTCCTTCTCCCCAACTGCTATCCAGCCTCCATGAACCTGTCAGCATGAGAAACCCATCATTCATGCCCCATCTCTTACCTTGCTGGAACCTGGGGGGACCAGGAGGGACTTCCTGGTTTGGATCCACGGGGGGCTCTGGGGTCAGGGTGTCAAACTGCTCCCTGCTGATCATATTCACCTTCTTGAAGTTCTCCACCTCTTGCTGCATTGGAGGAGGAAGATGGTGAAGAAACTACTCACAACCATGGCTCTGCCTGAGCAACAGACACAACACTGGGCCCCAAGGGCAGTCAAAGGGCCCGGGTGCCCAGAGGGCACTGGCTGCACAGGGGTAGAAAGGGGAGATGCAGCAGACAGAACACTGGGCACTGCACAGGCCACATCTGAGCCACCAATGCTGCCAAGCTTTCAGGGATCCCACAGGCAGCTTCACTAACCAGCACCTGCTTCTTTCAGGCTTTTACCAGCCAGGTCAGAGCCAGTGCAGTAAAGCTCAACATGAGCTCAGTGACCCATTTTTGGCCAGGACCCCCTGCCACCCTCCTGTGTCGCTAGAGCACCCCTCCCCACATCCTCACAGCCATGCTGGAACCAGGCACAGCACTCCCATGGATCTGAAGGATCCACATCCCAACACACATTGTCCCTGTCACCCTCCAATTCTGTTACCCTAGACAGCAGCACTGCTTCAGCAATGGGCCGGGTATCAAACTTGGAAGCACTGAGCCCAGCTGGGAGCTCCAATAAGTCATCCCACCTCACAGCCATGATTTCTGTCACTGAATGAGTCTAGGCAAGTACCCAAAAGTGAGAGTCACCAAGTTAGGACCCAAACATTTCAAAACAGCAGATGGGCTTTCTATAAAAAGCCCATGTCTATGCAAACTGACACCAAAATGAAGAGCACAGGCCAAGTGCAGCCCAGCCATCTATGAACCCGTCCCCAACACACGTAGTCTCCAACAGTCTGTGCCCAAAGCACAGGGCACTATGGGCAGTGCAGAGACGCCCAGTTCCCCTCACAGACCTGGCCCTGCCAGCTGAGATCCTGGCAGTCAGCTGAACAATGGGCCCCATGTTCCAGGTCACCTCACTACTGGCACTTTGTTTACGTGGCTGTAGCCTCACGTCTGGTAACAGCGCTGTGTTTATCCCTGGTATGGACAAACACGATGCTGGGAGCCAAGAATCCCAAACACTGCAAGAGGACTAATCCCAGCTTAGCTCTTCCCCACGAGGAGGCTGTAACCCACTGCACTGCCCTTTTCACCCCAGCCCAACTGCTGCACACAAGGCTCCCCACAGGCCACACGGATCCCTCCCATCCTCGGATCAGCCGCTCTCACCTTGATCTGAGAATACTCTGGCTCAAACTGCTCTGTCCACAGGTCCTGCTCATAGTAGTACAGCCCATCGTTGATCACCTTGGCCAGCTCCGAGCTCATTTTAGCCCTGGAGGTGTGGTTGCCAGTCCGGTCCCCGCCGGGATGGCGGCGCAGGTACGGAGGGGTCTGCGTCACGATGAGGATCTTGTTCACGTCGCGGTCGTCGATCTCGTAATCCGAGTCCTCGTCTGACCAGTCGGTGAAGGTGTTCTTGCGGCCATCCATCTGCTCCATCTCCTCGTCGAAGAGGAAGTCGAGCTCCTCGGGTTCATCTTGGTCCTTTTGCTTCTGCTGCTGTGGTGTCTTTGACTCCTCTGGTTTCTACAGGTAGGGGAGCAAGGGTGACACAGGGTAAAGACCACACAGCGAGACAAGACCCAGCTCTTGCCCCTTATTTCTTTACCCCAGCCCATCTGGGGAGAACACATCATTTACACCACTGAGGAGCAGCTCCAAAGGGGCTCAGATGGACACAGGAGAGACTGGGACATCACTCCCAACAGACCCTACTTGACTGAAGCTGCCCATGTATGATCCAAGTCACCCCAGTCACTGGGAGACTCCCAGTCCAACAGCTCCTACATCACTTACCTTGGGCCTGGCTGGGGAAGGGCGGGGTCTCTTCTTCACTTCAATCCAGGTCTCTGAATCCAAGTCTGGCAGACTTGTAGACAGGCCCTTGGGCATTGTCTTCAGGTTACTGACCTCCTCTGTTTTGGTGGGGACTGGGCTGGCAGCACGTGGGGAGCCTGGAGCAGACTCTGGAACCAACAAAAGCCACAAACTGCTTTAGAGGGAGGGAGGGAACCCAGGGGTGCAGTTACAAATTACCCAACCATGCTGGCACCATGGCACAGTCTGCAGGACTAACTGGCATACAGTGACCACAGTTAACCAGCACAGTGTCCACAAGTGCTAGAGTGGGAATCTCCAGTTAAAGCTATGATGGCAGGGGTGGCCACACAGCTTTGCAGGTGACAGTATCCCAGACACACAAAGCCCTAAAGGTGCTCCGCTGCTCTCTGGGAAACCTTTCCAGGAGAGTCTGGACCCAGATCTTCTGTCAAAACTATTACGAAGAACCAGGATCCTTCATGTGGGCTCTCAGGCCCAGCCCTGGGCTCCTGCCAGCCCCTGTGGGATGAGGTGACAAGAGCATGGGAAGCCCATGAAGGACAGAAGACCCTTCTGCAGCACTTGGTTGATGGCTTCACATCTGCTGCCCACTTTGTGCCCAGTATCTCCTCACAAGGATTCACAAGCATCCTCTGCTCAGCAGCTGTAGACTATTTCCAGGCATGCCAAGAAACTTTCAGCAGGACTGACTCTCTCTGAATCCCTTCAGCCCTAACGGAGGACAAGCTACATGCAGGCTCTCACATCACCCCATGTCTGAAGGCAGCAGCAAGTCCTCTCTCTCCAAGGACAGAGCCCACACCAGCTCCCACCACCAAGCAGAAAGCCACTGGCAGAGCCCTGCCCTAGGAACACTTCTGACTCTCAGAGTCTCAGTTGTGCTGCAGTCCCAAACCTCCCTCCACATTCCCCCAGTGCTCACCAGTCTCTTTCTGGAAGCTCTGCCGGGGCACAAACTCAGGGCAATTGATGAACTGTGAGAAGTCTGTCTGTGTGTAGTCTGCCATAGGAGGGCCAGGCAGAGCCCATTTTTCTGGCTGCTCTTTTCTCCTTATCTTCTCATCTACGATTTCCACCACCTTGCTGTCCTTCAGAGCCTGGAACCAAGCAGTATTTGGTTAACTTAGGGTCTTGCTTTGGCATACTGAGGGGGGTCAGCCCAAGCCATTCCTCCCTGGGAGGACTAATAGGAGGCAGGAGCAAGTCAAGGACAAGGGAAGGCTCCACCTGCACCTCATCCAGAGTGAGCAGGCATTGCACAGGGGCGATGAGAAGCAGAACAAGGAGGAAAGGTCACCTCTCCTTGCCCTCACCTTGATGATGAGGCTGATGTCGGTGGTCAGCGCCTGCACGCGGTGGAAGCTGGCGATCAGCGTGATGGGCAGGAAGCCGTCCGAGTCCATCTTGCGGCGCAGGAAGAAGTCCCGCTCCAGGTTGTCCACGCTGAAGTAATATTCTCTGCATGGACAACGTGCCAGTGAGAGGAAGCCCCAAACCACCGTTCTCTGGGCACCCCCAAGGAAATAACCCCCCCACACACACACTGAGGGGAGCAAGCCTGGGGAGCACAGACATGCCTGGTGCTGGAAGCAAAGCACAGTCAATGGCTCAGCTCCAACCCTTCCCTTGGGATTGGCTGCACAGTCCCCACCACCCAACAAGGACAGGAGGTGGTGCTCACATCTGCCTCTTGATGTAGTCCTTGAGCAGCTCCTGGTCCACGCTGTAGAGCTCGGCACTGCTGATGTTGTCGAAGTAGTAGGTGATGTTGCTGGCGTACTTCTGGGTGCGGGAGCCGTCCGAGCCCTCGAATTTCCGGTATCCATATTGGTAGTCAAAGTGCCCTGGGGAACACCAGGGTCAGCACAGAGCCCCTGGGGTCTGCACCCTGCCAGACTGGGGTGGACTCCTGCACAAATACTTCCCTCTTCCTGGGGACCCCTTGGAAGCCATCAGTGGAGCACCCACATCCCTCATCCTGCTCTCTGCCTGTGCCATAGAAGAGGCCAGGAGCCCTCTTACCCAAGGGTAACTGGGCAGCCCAGCTGACACATGAAGGTCCTACACTGAAGCTGCATAGTGTTAGCACAGACACTGCCCAGTCAAATGCCAGGGCAGGTGCTCTTTCTCACCCAAGCCATGACCCCTGCTTGGCTCTCAAATGGCATAAAGTCCTCACAGACTATCAACATGCTTCAATTCCTGCTCACAGAGCTATTGCAACAGGCAGAAAACATGAAAATGAGCTTGGCCTGAGTAGCAAAAAGACATCTGCTTTTATGAAAATACTAGTATGAATTACTTGCTTTGTTAACAGCAGATCAACTTACCAGCTGGAATGACCTGCCACAATATTCCCCTGTATCTCTGGAGTGCTCTGTCCTCCCCAGCCCACTTTAGAGCCCCAGATCTCTCAGGCACACAGACACAGAGCTCTGCCTGCTGTGTCACTCTCCCTGCAGCCACACGAGCACACACACGGTGATCACCTCCTCTGCCACGGCCACGGCCCCTGCCCCGGCCGCGGCCTCGGCCCCGGAAGGTTCCTCGCACGGCTCCTCCCTCGCTCTTCACGCTGGAGGTCTCGTCGTGGTCCTGCCAGCTGCGCTCGTGCTTGTTGTCGGGGTGCCAGCCTGCAGCAGGGGGAAGGAGAGGCAGGAGGGGAGTTAGGGCATGACAGCACCTCCCTGGAGCAAGCCCACTGCTCGCAGGGAGCTTGCAGAGCCCTCTGAATGCAGGGCAGCTGGGCTCCAGGGCTTGCTCTGCCCCGGGCCGGGCCAGGAGCGGCTCCCCAGCCCGAGCCCCCACCTTTGAGCTCGCTGCGGTTGTTGGAGGGGTGCCTGTGCTGCTCGTTCTGCCGGTTGTTCCGAGAGGCCGTTTTGTCCCTAGGCACCTCTGACTTCATGTCTATCTGCAGAGGGACCCACTTGTGTTTGTTGCCTGCAAAAGGACAGGGTTTGGGTGTGACACAGGTTGAGAGTGCATCTGCTTCCTCCCCCATAGCCCCCACACATGGAGGGGAGAAAGCAGCAGGGCCTTTTGGACGGACCCTGTCCTCTGACATCCCTCCAGGCCTCACTGCATGCAGAAAAGCTCTGACCAGGACTCTGAGACAAGGAGGGACATGAGTCAGAACTTGCCTGTGGCAACTGTCACAGCACTTGTCCTTCCTCTGCCCCTTTCTGCCTGCCCAGGCTCAGGCCAGACTAAGCCCATGTGTCAACCACAACTGATGCAGCCCAAGGTGAGGGGCTGTTCTGTGACACTGTGGAACACACAGGAAGGCAGGCTCCTGCCCTGCCCCCACCAAAATGACACCTGAAGCCTGCCAACACCTTTTCCCACAGCTGTCCCTGCACTGGGATCATGTCCTGCAGCAAGGCTCCCAGGGAAGGCAGAGGACGCTTCCAGCTGTCTGAGGGCTGGAAAGGGGAGGACAAGCTGAGCCTGGGGGACTATCCCCACCAGCTCCTGCCTTACCTTTTTTCTTCTGGGCTGACTTCTGGTTGTCATCATCACCATTCTTCTCCTCCCCAGACTCATCCGATTTGGTTTTCAGGCTCTCTTTGCCATCACTCCCATCCCCCTTTTCCTGCTCTTTCATGTCTTTCTTGACAGGCAGCTTCCGAAGGGACGGTGCTTTGTGTGGCTGCTGGAGACACACCAGTGCAGCAAAATGTGAGAGGTGGGAATAGTGAGGAGCTGGAGGCAGAGCCCAGCTGTCCCAGCTGAACAGGAAGACTCTGCCCTAGGCTGGGTGCATCCCTGCTCTGAACCTCCCAGAGCTGTCCTGCTCCTAGGGAAGGGCCCATGGCCGAGCAGGGCAAGGGCTCATTGAGACACCAAGATGGGCTGACAGGGAGACCTCGTGCTCATGGATGGGTTTGTCCTGTAAAGGACCAGACTGCCTCAGTGACAAAAGGGCGAGTGACCACCTTGCCATGACAGACAGGCAGGAGCTAGCAGAGCAGCATCCAAAAATAGAAAGGTTTCAATGACACCCATGTCCTCAGCAGGGAGGAAGGGCTGAGCCCCCCTTCAGCACACCAAACATTTCTCATGCATTTTCAGTTCCTCCTGTGGAGCTCCTGACTTTGGCCTGGTCCCTTCCTGCACAGAGCAGCCCCGAGGAGAGCAGGTCTGGGAGCTGGCCTACCTGCTTCAGCCAGCCCAGGGTTTAGAATGGGCTCCAGCTTCCCAGAATAGCACTGAGGGAGGGAGGCAGCCCTAAAAGGAAATTCCCTGCACACTATTCCTGGCTGCCTCCGAACTGACACTCAGCACCCCAAATGACCTGGCTCAGCCAGTGCTTCCAGAGGGATAGGGAGGTCTGCAAGGGCCACATCCTGCCCATCACAATGGTTCTGTGTTCTCACCTGGACGCTCTTGTGGGCTATTTCTCCAGGTGTTGGCCAATTTGTGGCATCACCGAAGTCACCAACCTTGTTCCAAAGAGAAAGGTCCTGTTAGTGCACGAAGCTGCAGGTGTTCCCTGCAGCAGGAAGAACACTTTCCACCCATTGCTGTCCCAAAACCAGGAGGCTGGAGGGGGACACCCACACTGCACATATACCACCCCTCTCCCCACCAAAGCAGGAACCCTGAACTAATTCCAAATAGCTGCAGCCAAATTTACGTCCATCAGACATTGTCCTGCAAGGTCCCAGCCTCTCACTAAATATTCTGCCCTAGCAGCAGCAGCGTTTGGCAGGAAGCTGCCCAGGATAATTCACTCAATTACAGGCACCATCCCTTGGACAGGGAAAGCACTCAGCTTATGGCACTCTAAATACACCTGATGCAACTGCATTCCACTGAAGAAGCTCTTCCAGCTAGTGGCAGCCACAGCCAGGCACAGCCCCAGTCAAGTGCCCAACTAGAACCACCATGTGCTGCCAACAAAGCGAGGGCATGGTTTCAGAGTGGCTGAGAAAATTCAAGCAGGTGAAGGGAACTCCCTCATTCCAGTCACCCCATGGGCACACAGGGGAACATCAATGACTTCTCTGCTGAATAAATGACCTGCTCACTACCATCATTTCTATCTCTTTCGGGTTTCAGAGGACCTGCAGAACACAGGAAAGAAGCCAAACAGCTGCCCAGGCACCAAAAGAATCACAGCTGGTCACCGAGTTCATCTGGGCACAGAAACTCCTCCTTGCCCTTGTGAGATTGCTATTTCTGAATTAATTTGGAATCAAAGATTTTTATCCCTCAGGAGATTGCATCTTTACATGCAGGTGCCATGCTCCTCTGCCCAGGAGGCAAGTTTCCTGGGAAAACCAATTCCAGTGCAGGGCCATGCCTGTTTCACAGAGAGGAGCACCATCCATCCCAGGGCCTTCCTCTCTCCAAAATGGAACAGAGAAGTAAAGTCCTATCAAGTTGCAGATACATCTCTACTGGCTGCTGGGAGCCAACACCAACAGCTCCTGTCCCCAGCTGTGCCCCAGAATAAACTGTCCCTCCATCACCACCCATTCCCTGGAACAAATTGCCCTGGTTCCTCCAGAGGAGTTGCTTTGTCTGACATCCATTTCCCTGGCTCTCTGTGTGCCAGGGAGGAACAGACTGCACAAGGAAGGACAGAGCTGCAGACACACCACTGTCACACCCTGCCTGCACTGCAGGGCTGGGCACGGGCTGGGCCCGCAAGGAATTTGGGGTGTCCTCACAGCGGATGAGAGGTTTTCCACATCCAGGACTCCTCCAGGTGCCTCCCTGTTAGAGGGGAAATAATAAGGTCTCCCCTGACCTAGCTGGGCAGAAAACCAGTCACAGCAGCATGCAAGACCCTAAAATGCTGAAGGGGAGATAAGAGAACAAGGCCAGCACATCAGCCTCTCCACAACCAAGCTTGTGAAAGGAGAGCTCTGCTCCCCAGACCCTCGAGAGGCTCATGCAGCACTGACAACTGCACCAGAAACTGGGGGCCAGCGAGAGGAGAGCAGGCACAGCCTTACCTTGCTTCCTTTCCTCTGTCTCGGGTTGGCAGCCCTCACCACTTTCGCTGGAGTTGTAAGTTCTGCAAGAGAAGGACAACAAAATGTTAAAACACAGCTGAGGGCTGTGAGTGGGAGTGTTGGCTCTGGAGAGAAGTGGGTAGGAAGCAAAGCAGCTCCCCCTTGAGCAAAGGAGGGCTACCAGGAAAAGGTAAACAGAAAACATAGCCAGCTCCTGACTTGAGTCTCAGAACTGCCCCATGAAGATCAGAAAACTCCTGACCAATCCAGGTAGCCCAGAGATGGACTTTTAACCCATCCTGCTGCAGCATGGCAGTCCCTGCCTTAGCTCTGCCCTCCCCAGCCAGGGAGCAGAGGGGCAAGGAGCTCAGCTCATGCTGCAAAGCACAGAACAGCAAAACAAACGTGCCCTTGAAAAGCCAAGACCCATCACAGCACCGTGAGGCCACTGCTCCCCAGGGAGCAGAGCAGGGCTCTGACAGAGAGATGCAAAAGTCCGTGGCTGCTGAATCCTGGTTTGAAGTCAGGCATCCCAGCAAGCACAGTAAGTTCAAGAGAGGAAATGTACAGAGAGAATGAGCCAGACACATCAAGCTCCTAATCTGCTACTGAATTTAGGCACTGAAGCACCTGTGGGGTGTTTTAACACATCAGAGTGAGGCTGTTGGGGTTCACACTACCGCAGACTTCACAGCAAGTCAAGTTCTCAACCTCATCATGGCCCAGCTTGGCTCCAGCTCACACACCACCTTCTCACAAGCAGAAACAAGAATTCACCTTGCTTTGTCCCTCTGGTCTGGCTGCAAGGTCTCTGATCAGGCTCACACAGGGCACAGAGTCTGAGCAACAGAGCAGCACAACTCTGCCCAACACAAACCAGCCCCACAGGGATGAGGGTCTCCTCCAGGATGCTGGTGCTCCACAGGGGGAGGAGAGCCCAGCAGCCTGTGCCAGGTGCCAGGCTCCTGCAGCAAGGATTTCTGCTGACTCACTGGCTTTGTTTAGAGGAAAAGCAGCCCTGACTGGGGTAGGAGGTGAGGCTATCTGGGGATGCCCCGGGAAACACCCTGAGTAGCCTATTCAGCTCTGCTCAAAGCTGCCTTTGATCTCCTTCACAAGGCTGGACAACTTTGCCTGGATGATCAAAACCGGTCCCCTTCTGAGCCTCGAAACCAGTGATTCATCCTGGCCTTGCTCAGAGCTGGAGGCTTTGAAGTGTCAATAAAGCACAGTCAGACATGGCAGGACAGAGCCATGTGCACTCTCCTTCCCCAATTCCCATCTCTATGGCTTCTGCATGGGGATTTCAAATCCAGAAGAGTCCAAGCTCTCAGCTGGATCCCTGAACCCTCCCCTTTTCCCCCGGCACCTCCCCAACCCACCGGCAGTGCCTCCCTTCATGAGCAGCAGCAGTCCCACGTGTCCCTCATTCATTCCATGTGCACTTCATTGAGAATCCTGGCTGCACAGGCACAAAGCTTGCCACAGGGCTTTTAAACCTCCCTGCTAGTGTAGGAAGAGCCAGCGCTTTCAAAACAGCCCCCAAAATCCTCCACTCAACACCCACAGATGTCACCAACTAAATATAGCTTCAAAAGGCACCAGGAGCTACAGCACAAACCCACAGTCAGCCCGGTTTTCCACAGACACAGAGCACCCAGCCTGCTCCAACAGCACTGATGGAACTGGCACAGCTGATCAGGCTGATCTCCGGGGCTGGGGGACAGCAGGGACAGCTCCTCTCCCTGCAAGGATCCCACCCAGGTGCCTGCTCCCTGCACAGCACAGCCCCAGCGCTCACAGCAATGGCATCCAGCCCTTTCCTCCAGCTGCTTCACCTCCGGAGCCCTCAAGGCCATAGATATTCTTGTGCTTTTTTTTTTGGGAACCTGTCAAAGAGAGGGGCCTCACAAGCAGCAGTGAAAGAGGACGAGGGGCACAGGCTGCAGGGGCAGGTGCCACAGACTTCATCATCTCTGCGGGGGAGGGAGGAGATTGTTTGAAACAAGTTCTGCTGCTTTCCTTATCTGCAAGATATGAACAGGGATCCCTTATCTCGCTGAGGTGCTGAGAAGACTAATTAGCATTTGCAGAGCGCTGTGGAACACAAAACATAAAGCAAAGGGCTGCAGTCCAGCAGGCAGGGAAGCTGTGAGCATGGATGGAGCAGAGATCCAGCAATTCATGGTGGAGACCATACTAGGAGATGGAGAGGGTAGGACTGTGCTGGTGGACACATGGCCAGACACAGCATTTGCTGAGCCAAGATCATGGCTAGCAGAGGCCATGCACGCCTGGCACCCTCCAGGGCACAGCAACATAACCAAGGGCACCAGCAACACATCTTGTGGCCTTCAGCTGAGAAGAGAGAAGACCCCTTGCAGGAAAACCTCATGGCATCAGCCTGGGAAGTGGACAGCAAGTGAGTGCTGCTCATCCCACGCAGGAGCTCAGCACGAGCAGTGGGGGACACTGGATACTGCCTTGGTTCACAGCCGAGCCTTTAAAAGCTGCTGACAGATGTCTCAGACCTCTGGGTGTCTCACAACTCTCCCTCTGCATCTGTCTGGTGGCAGTAAGTAATTTCAGCTGCACTAGCAGTGCCTGAGCACCTCGTGAGAAACAGGGCCTCTCTGTGTGAGGGGACAGACAAAACAGCTGCAGCAGGAGCCAGGGCTTTAGTGGTGTGAGGCTGGCACGGGGACAGTGGGCAGGGAAGCAAGGAGCAGCTCTGCCTGCGGCCACAGAGCAGATGCTGGCACAGCCAAGAAGAGAAAAGCAGGTCTTGAGTTTTGATCTGCTGCCTGCAGCCAGAACCTGATCATTTGTCCAGGCAAGGGGTTGCCCAGCCACGAGGAGATTATTCCTTAGCAACCAAGAGGATGAGGCACAGGTGGGAGCACCCACAGCAGCTATCCCAGCCAAACCCTTCCCGAGGCTGTGCCACAGCCAGAGCATTCCCTGGCTTTGGACACTCACTCCCAAATGCACCTGACAAACACCAAGGGCAAAGCTGTGCAGACACCTCGTGCCTTCCAGCTGGCTGGGACATAGAGCCCTGGGGTGGGAGGCTCACAGGGGCATCCAGGTGAGCAAATGCCTCTTAGCCTTGCACCAGAACCAGACTGCCAGAGTGATAGTAGATCCATAGCTAAATGTCCTTCCACCTCAACAGGGACATCTGATGTAGGACCACTGAACTCAGCCAAGGAGACATATCTACTACCTTATCTGGGAAAATGAAATTAAACACCCAGCAACTGGTTTTCTGCCTTTCCTTGCATCCAATGGAAATTCTAATGAAATTTTAGGCAAGGTAAATGAAGAGAGGGACTATATCTGCAGTGCTAAGCAGAGACCTGGCATTACTGGAGAAATATCTGTACATATAGCAAGAATGCTGTAATGTCTGCTCCAGGTGTACCACTCATGTGCAATGCAGACAAGGGCTCCAGCAGCAGCTGGGACAGCCTCAGAGGGCAGCCCAGGCTCCCAGCAGGAATGCAGAGTCCTCAGCTCTGGCACACTGTCCCTGACACAGCATCCCCTCCTTACCCAGCAGACAGGTCGACAGAATGGAGCCATCCTGCTCCCTGCTCCACAGCCTGGCACCTACCAGAAACTGCTGATAAAGGTGGTTCCAAGCCAAGAGCCTGGACTTTGTGCTGAAGAGGCTGAGGCAGGGGCGCATGCTCTGTGATGTAGGTCCTGACGGGGCTGCAGGAACCAAACCAGTATCCCCAGTTTCCCCAGAGCCCTGGCAGGAGCTTGAGGGTGCTGTATGAGACAGACAGCCACATGCCCAGCGGTCCACCAGGGTCCACTTCACTCTTCTGTCTCCAAGCAATCCTCCCTCCTTCCCACACTCCACAGAACACTGGTGGCACATGTGAAGACTAAAGTCATAACCAACACAACAGGACACCCGCTCTGGCATCAAGGTTTTTAGGTGAGAAAGAGCAAATGCAGCTTGGGCAAAGGTGAGCTGAGAAAAATGTTTAAAAATGTTTCTGTGTGGGATTATCTGTTTTCCCAGGAGATAGGTAGCTCCTTCAGAGTCATTTTGTGAGGGCAGAAGAATCCCTCCTAGGGTGCTGACACACAGGAAAGATGTGGTGAAACGGCACCAACCCTCAAAGAAATTCCCTTAAGACAGCCCCAGCAGGCAACCCGCCACAGGCAGGCAGACCAGGACCCCACTGTGGCTGCAGGAATTCCCTTCCTGGCCAAAAAAAATACTTAGGGAGCCAACAGAAAACAGCTCCAAAGGTGCATTCACCACCTTCTCAACATGGGAAACTCAGGCCATCAATCCTGTCCCTGTCCTTCCTCCAGGCCTCAAGGAATCTCTCTCAGGGTGACCTGATCTGCACAGCTGCAGGGGCATGACATGGATTTGGAGACTCTCCTGTGGCACTGACCACTGTCCATTAACTCAGTGCAGCACTTGCAGTCTGAGTCTGACCAAGCCATCCGAGGACACAGCTGGTGAACTTCCATGTCCACCAACAGCACACAGGGACATTTTTAGGACCAGTCCTGCAGGCCAGATATGACCCAACAGTCCCTGCTCCCACCAGCAGCCTGCCTCTTGCAGAGAGTGACAAAGCTCTTTTCTTTTTGAGTCCATCCCAAAGAGGACCCCCTGAAGTTACAAGCAGAGAAACCTTGGGGGATGAGCAAACACTTCATGCCCCTTTTGTGGGTGCTGCACCTATTTCTGCATCAGCAAGAGGCTGTGGTGGGCAACACACTCTTACTGTGAAGGGGCTGGGAAGCATCAGCAGATGGGAGGGGACCTCAGCCTCCCCAGGGAGCCATCTGGTAGCACCCCTGTGTGCAGAGAGGTGCAGATATAGAAACCAATCAGCAGATCCACCCTGCCCTGCCTCCCAAGGAGCTGCTCCCAGCACAGCCTCAGCCTGGTGCCAGAGCTGAGATGGGAAACGCTGCTGCAGCTCCACACACAATCAGAAAAGCCTGGGATTTATAGCACTGACTGCTTGGCATGCACTCACATTTTGCTGAAGGCATCACAAGGCACACAAAGCCAGAAAGGTCC